TTTACTCGAGCAAGATTTGAGCAGTTGGACACAGTGCTTAAATAGGGAAGATTTAACCAAGTCCCTTATAATGATCGCACTTGTATTTGCGGGGCTCCAGAGATAGAAGACATAACACATATATTGTTTGAATGTCAACTGTATAAAAAAGAGAGGGATCCGCACATTAGATGAATGATCTATATTAAAATATATTTAAGGTGTGGTCAGAATTCAAAATTACATATAATAGAGCCCTTTATTTGAACAAAACAGTACAATTGAAATCTGCATATGTGGATCTGATCGGAGTAAATTGTAGGGGTGATACAGACACATGATTTGCATCTTTTTTCTGCACTTTTGCTTTTTCTCTCTCTTCTTTCTTTCCTTCTTTCCTGTTTCTACTCTTTGTGTTAGTTTTTATGTGCTTTGTAAAACTTTTAATTAAATTTTTTTTTAAATAATTTTAAAAATTAAAGTAATACAGTGGGAAACAGAGCAAAGTTCTGCCTAAGAGTTGTAGGTTAGGTGATGGGAGGTGATAGTTGTTAAATGTTCTTTTCTGCCCTGCATTTGAAGGAAAGGCTTAGATATCAAATAAATAACCAATTAGAATTCAGTAGTTTTGCTGGGTAGAAAGAAAAAAAGGGATCCAGATTTTTATGTGGATATTTTATATATGATATTTCCTATAGTGTGAGTATAGGATCAAAGCTGTTATTAGTCATTTATGTGTTGTTGTTTTTCTTAGTGAGTGTTCCACTCATGATGCAAGGAAAAACTGTATTTTCTTGTAATGCTATGTGACTTAAGTTGCACGTGCTTGAACACCAAATCTTATGATACTAAAAAATCCACAATTAGTCTGTGTAAATATTTGTGGTCAATACATCAATCTGACATGGAAATATTAAAGGGTGAATGGAATAAGGTACTGGAGATCCTATTTTGTCTAAGTAATGGGAGACTGTCTTAATGTCAAAAATGTTAAGACTACAGCTCATACAACAATACAACAAAAATGTTTCTTGGACTTATTAGAAGCTATTGCATTTATATAGAAAAGGAATGGGTAAATCATTGTGATGTTGGACATGCAGTTGTAATTTACTGGTATGCATCATGCCCTCATTTCCAGATACCATCATCTCATTTCCACCTTGCTATATATGTAAAATAGATGTAGCTCAGAGGAAGACAGCTTCTAGCAATCTAGATGTTGCTAAACTGTCACTCCCAACATCCTTCACTATTAGCCATGGTTCTTGGGATTGTAGGAGTTGTAATTTAGCAACATCTGGAGTGCCAAAGATTGCCTACCTCTGAGCTAACCTATGTATATTTGAACACTGGATTAGTGCTACAGAGAAAGTGGAGGTATGGAAAACTCATATTTAATAAATATTTAGAGACATAGAGACAAGCAAGGGCAGTGAGGTAGCAAGCGTAAATCCTTGCTTAATATCTGGACTAAAAGTTAAAGATATTCTAAATGATCCATATCTATACCCTAGTATGGAACTCTTATTCTAAATAGCATGCGTCCAGCTGCATTTTTTAATGCACATCTCATCATATATACTTTTTTTTCTGTGTCTTTTAGAACAATCTTTCTCAACCTGATATCCTCCAGAGGTATCAGAACTGGCTAGAAATTCTAGGAAATGCACATCTGAAGGGTGCTAATTTAGGGAAGCCTGGTAGAAGATTAGAGGTTTAGTCAATGTTAGAGGGTTCGTTTTGCTTAGAAGCATAGAAGTTTACCTGGAATGTTGACTATTCAGTGTGGACACTACTAATAAATAAGCTCTCTTTGGCTCACCCTTTAGTTCTATTTTTCTTAGCTTTTAGGAAGAGCATTGTAATACAACAGATAGTATTTGATAGTTTGTGCTGCACTGAAAGTTTGGGAGGAGGCACAACAGCTAGAATGTTATAGTCCAAAGGAAAATCAGTTGCTATCTCAAAAATGGAATTGAATTAATTTCCATCAAACTTGTAGGTACCTGCCTGGATAAGAGCTGGCACTTTCCTTCAGCATGGACTCCTTCAGCCCCAAGTTCTGTTAAAGTGTTTACTGATACCTTCTTTGGTGAGAATGGAAAATTGGTCCCTGTGCTGAAGATAGAGTGGAAAGTGGCTACTGATGGTAAGTGAGGAAGAAAGTAATATAGAATTGCACTATTTATGGCAGTGCAGGACATAGAAAATGTAGCATTATCTATTGGACCAGTCATAGTAGCCAGAGCTATCTCCAACATGTTTTAGGGGCTGGTTTGGGGATTTAGTAATAATGTGAACTTGTGATACTTCTAAAATGTATTAAATACATGATAGTTACTCAAAAGGAAAATAACCCTGATTTTAAGACACTCCCTTAAAAAATGGAGAAAAAATTCATCTGCCTCTATTACTATATTTGTAGTGAATCCAAGACACCCTCCAATTTTAAAGATAAATTGTTTGGGGGCGGGGGGACTAGTTTTCCTTTCAGATAACAACAGAAGTTCAGAATAAAATGTAAACAATTTAGAGCAATTCAGGGATGAATATTAAAATGGCAATATATCATTTCAGTGTGTATTGTTTTCTTTTCATGGTATAAAATCAAAATGTTTGAACAAGACTTTGTATGAACTGCTTTATGCGATAATCATTGGTCTGTCTAGCCCAGGATTCTCCATATCCTGGAGTGAACATTGGATGGGGGAGGGAGTTCTTTTTTTTTTTTTTAACTTGCCCTGACCTTCTGCAGGCTGCTTCTGAACTATAAATCTTCTCATGGTTTAGATGGCAGCATAACCAGAGGGTACAAAGAGAGATGTCTTTACAAATGGTTTTTCTTCTCCCCTCCCCTTCAACAACAGCAAGCATTACATATCTCAGAGGAGTGGAATTGTCTGTACTACAAGCAAGCAGTAACCGGCAGATTTGCGCTCAATTTGAGTTTCAGAATAACTTGTCATTCCAAGTCCGTCCAGACGGTGGGGGCCGGGTAAGCGACCATGAACATTTTACAGATTTATACTTTGCCTTCCTAGAATCCAACAGAATGGTTGTGGAGTTAGGCACCCTGGTACATTTAGTGAAGTAAATAAATAAATAACTGTATATTGGCTAGAGAAAGTATGACATTTGCAAGCAAAAGAATAACCTGGTGCTTAAGAAAAGCCTTGTAATTAAGAATAGGGTCTGTTGCTTACAGCAAGTATAGACGCCTTGGTATGGCCCCTGCTGGATGTGAATTGCTAATGTTGGAACAACAGCTGCATGATTTATTGCTGCAATGCAGAAAAATGACCATGACCTGTCCCAGCAGAAGGGACAAGGAGAATCCAAGGTACAAACAGGGAGACAGCTAAACCTGTACACTTGGTTATTGCTGCTTCCGTTTCTGTTTGTGGTAAAAGCACCAACTATGTTGTGTTCCTCAATTTAAGGAGGTATTAGAATACAATGCTGCTACTTCTGTTTTAACAGGGCCACAGCATTGGCTGTGAATATTGCTGGCTGTTCTGGAATAAGGGGCCACAGACTGAGAAACATTCACAGGAAGCAAATACACTCAATTACCCCTGGAATGCTGTTCTCTCATATAACTCCTGTTGTCAGCCTATAGCATCTTTTATTTCACTGTTTATCATCTGTTTCACCACAGTTTTCTCACTGTCCATAGTGTTTATCAGAAATATGGGAAAGAGAGAGTGATATCTGAATTTACTTCCTAGGCTATTTTAAAAATGCTAGCATTTGTTTAAGGTAGAGCTGTATTAGATACCTTGTACATAAAATAATATTAATTATCCATGCTTACAGGATTTCACATTGTAGAGAGAATCCTTTTTTCCCTTTCATTAGAGGAAAGTAGAAGAAAAAGTACCTATGGTATAGTATGGAATGTTTCAGCATTTGGTGAAAAGAATGCATTTTATGAGGATATGGAGAAATAACTCCTTATTTTTCTCTCCCCAATTTTCCCCAAATTCAGGGAAAATGCTTATGATGAAACAGGGATCATTCAAGACCGGATAACTAGATCTGAACAAAATGAATTGCTCTATCTAAGTGCCCATACGGCATCTGGCTTGTGAATTTTCTTTTCTTTCTCCTAGTACAGAATTTCATACAAGATCAGTTTTGTAAGTCACTGCATTGATTCATTGTATGTTTGTTAAAAGATTTCTCCTTATCATTGTGTTTCAGTGGAATTTCTCTTTCAACCGCTTTGAGGTACAACCAGGCCTAATGTACCAAGTAACTGTCTATCATTTGCCCAAATTAAGTACTGCAGGGGACTATAACAGGAAATTAGTGTCAGTCACAGTACCAGGTAAAGGACACTTTTATGATGTATTTATTTACAGTATTTTTGTGCTGACAAATCCACAAAATTCCTAGATCTTTAAAAATCTGAATATGAAATCCACAAACCCATTTAAGATCAGTAAACTCATAATAACAGCATGAAGCTCAGTATCCATACTACAGTGACCACACCAAAAATTCATTCATACTCTTGACTGTTTTCCTGAACGACACCAAGATATCCAGGGTAAGCTGTTCCAGAAGGATGGAGCATACATTGAAAAACATCATGCTCTTGCCCCAGTGCAAGGTGGGAAGATGACTCTCAACACCCTGGCTCAGGATGAAAGCACCAGATGCTTGGCAGGCTGCCTGCACTTACGGCCGCAGAGGCGCTTCATCTCCCCCCACCCACCTATCTCCCCCCCATCTGGCCGCCCTGAGTAGGGTGGAGCCAGATGCAAGACACCTGCCACTTCTTCCGGTACACCTCCAACGCATGGCTTTTAAATGGCCACCACTGCCATTTTGTCTCTGCACATGCATAGCTCTTAAACTTCCTCCAGCAGTTCCAAAGCTAAAGCACTGACTTTTCTGAATCCCCCAATGGCTCTGGGCTCTGGGATGCCAACCAGGGATAAAAATGCCTCTTTACTGCATGGGTGGATGTTTGTGGGGGTTGCTAGATGATGCAATGTGAGCCTGTGGAATGAACTTTTTGGAAGCTGTCTGAAATGTACTTTCTAAAGAAATTGCATTAAGCCTTCTGTAACCTCTGATGCAGATTTTTTTTTTCTAATGATGCAAGACCAACAGTCTTAACCCAGTAATCTTTTCACAAGTGGCTTATATTTCAGCATAGTTCTTTTTAGGTTACTTGCAAATTGAAGTAGTCACCTTAGCCAGTGTTGTCTTTCTGAACACAGCTGCAATCTTTCTGATTTTTTCATTGCAGATTGCACAGATCCTACCATGAAAAAAACAGAACCATGTGTGGAAATAGGTATGCTTTTTTCTGGTGTTTGGGTGCATCCATGAGCAGTGCAATCTGAAGTTATTGATGAGTTTTCTTCATTTAGGGAGTTTGTGGGAACCCAGAATTAATGGAACAAGCCTAGGAGATCATTCTGTGTTGGTGAGCTTTGACCCAGCAGTGATGCCAGCCAGCTATGTTATCCATGTAATCAGTTTTCAGAAGGATGAAAAGGAGTGTAAGACGGCCACAGAAAGAATCTCAGAGGTAATCAGTTTTACTCCACTCTATTTTCTCCTTGAGGCAGTTAATTCTACTTTAGCAATTCCTTAATACCAGTGGCTCTTAGGGTTAATCCCAACCCTTTAATATTTGCTAATCCATCAGAATCCTTGTCTTCCCAATAACAAAAACTCAACAGCTTTAAAAGATTCTGGAATTTGAGTCTTTTAAAAACATTGTTTACTACAAAATGTGAATCCTATATAAATATTAAATTATGTGAGTTAGACACCTACTTACTTACAAGATTGATACAGTTTTTGCATTTCTACCATGTCAGAATCTGGAATTTTATGCTACAGGAATAGGTTTAAGGGGAAAACATTAAAAAAAAAAAAAGTGGTTTGAATGCTGGGCTGTACAAAAACCTCCTCACCCAACATGCCTTTCAAACCAGAATTGCTTCCAGGCAAGCAAGCAAATTGTTCCTGGTTATTTGAAAATAAGAAACTATTCATTTCAGAATAACTGAATAGAAGAAGCTGCAATCTCTTGCCTCTTCTGCCTGGTCGTATGAAAGAAGCAACCGAACAATAGTCAAGTAGCTGCACGCTTGTATATGAAGTTTGGTTGTCCAATCCAGATTATGCTAAGCTACTTGATTTCATATTGGCCTAGCTATTGAAAATGCACCAATGCATGACAACTACAACAGCCCCCACTGCCTCCATGCAGGAGCTGTTCTGAGTCCATTCACTGCTTTATGATAAAATGTAATTGCCCCTTGATTTCTATTTCTGAGCCCACTTAGTTACCCCAAAGAGACAATGTACTTGAGATTAATCACACTGCTGTTGCTCGTCGCCTCTCAATTGTGCCTCATGGTTTCTGCAGAAGGGTCTGCTGCAGCGCCTGAATGTCACAGTCAAGCTGGAAAAGAACTTGAAGAGTTGTTGCAAATACAAAGTGCAGGTAGGGCACAATTGCCTTCTGATAAAACAGTAATTTATTCCATGTTAATAGTCACATTCAGTGATTTTTTTGCGGGAGGGGAATAAAACTAGAGATAAGGATACTCCTCAGAAGTCAAGCTCGGTTCCTGGTGACCAGATGGATGCATCCATGAAACCAGAGTACAAAACTGGCTTGCTTTCTTTTTTTTTTTAATAATTTTTTTATTTTTTACAACAAACTGTGTTTGTTGTAAAACTGGCTTGCTTTCTTCTGGGATTTTTTTTTACTTCCCAATGGAGTCTACAGTCCTGGGATTCCCTGATAATCTCCTATCCAAATACTGATTAGGCCCTGCCCTGCTTAGCTTTTGTACCCAAGCCAGGTTGCTGCCACTTGCTGAAACTTCAGAATCCAGAGTAGCTACAAATTAGTCCACAGAATCCTGAGCTATTAACGTGCAGCAACAAAGATGTCAGTGTTGATTCGCTTACCTTAGATATCGCTCTCCTTTTAGCTCTTTAGCCATCTGTAGTCTTTCAGAGTAAGAAATGCTCCTTTAAAATGCTAGAAACTGGTCAAGAAAAATCAAAAGGAGAAAGCATCCTTTAATTTCAGAAGTTTGTTAAAGGAAATCAGCTCCACGCTCCTCTTTGCTTCAGGCAATTTTGCTTCACTCTTAGCAGGAGTAGCAACACAAAACTCATGAGCATCAATGTGCCTGTGGATATTTCTCTTGGCATCTGCCAGATCACTGTCCCACTCAATGTTTTTTAGCTTTTTAAAAATTAAAAGCAAAGTGGCAGCCTCTAATCTAGCATTAACTTTGCGGGACCTTTCATTTTTAGTTTATTTTATATTTATTTTATATTATTTTATTCGGATGCTAAGCAGGGTCAGACCTAGGTAGTACTTGGATGGGCGGCCATCAGGAAATTTGAGGAATGTAGACTAGTCTGGGAAATTTAAAAAAAATACAGAAGAATTATTTTTTAAAGGATTTTTTAAAACTTTCTATATTGTTGCCAAGAAATCAGCGTGAATGTGCCCACATAGGCATCAGGAAGCTAGCTTAGCTTAAAGGCATCTTCACCTTTACCCCCAGGACACTAGAGTCCCATATTTAGAAAATAAAAAAGGGGGTTGTTTGCAGTCCAGTGCTTCGCTTGACAGTTGCCCACCTGCCCATTAAAAAGACAGAGGTCAGTTAGGATAATTGAGTGGCTCCTAGCCAGCCAGAGGAGATATGGGGAACAATCTCATCTACAGAATTTGCCTTGGGACCGCATAACCTTCATGTTCTTAGAATTCCAAGCATGCCCATTGGCACAAAAATGTTGCCTGCCTTTTTCAAAACTCTGATTATTATGAGGATAAGGTGTGAACATAATAAGTGTAAGAATGCTGGTATCTTTAGCAGTTCCATCTTGAATATATCTAGCAACCTTGCTATGGATTTTGACCCAATCTTACTGAAAATAACAACAGCAACAACAGTTTTGTGAGACGTAATTTGAAGATCACCATCAGTCAATTGCAAAAGGCAGCTTTACTTGGAACAGCTTATACCCTGCGATGATATCTTTAACATCATCAAACAATATCTGCCTATCCCAGGTCCTTGGGAAGGACTCAATAGGTGGATAAAAATGCCAGGTCCAGTCTAAACATCTGGCTGACTGTGTGGCCGACAATAAATATTAATATTTTATTATTATTTATATTGAGAGCCTGTTTGGTGTAGCAGTTAAGGCACCATGCTAGAAATCAGGAGATTGTGAGTTCTAGTCCTGCCTTGGGCACAAAGCTAGCTGGGTGACCTTGGGCCAGTCCCTCTCTCTCAGCCCTAGGAAGGAGGCAAGGGCAAATCACTTCCAAAATCTTGCCAAGAAAACAGGGACTTGTCCAGGCAATCACCCAGGAGTCAAAACTGACTCAGGCACAAAAAATAAAAGATTATTTATATTAATGTTATATATATTGTATCAATATATTACATTACATTACATTACATTGTATTGTATTGTATTGTATAATAATGTATAGTGTATTTCACTTTATTTATATTAAGAATCCAAGAGAAAAAAATTAGTCCTACAAAGTAGTCTTACATAAGCTCCTTTTCTTTTCACTTTTGAAACTTGGCGGCTGATGGAGCATTGAACTAATTGCTATAATTGCCCTCTCTCTTCTTTTTTCGCCAGATCCAACCGCTGTTTCCTGGCTGTGCCACAGACTGTATAAGGCACTCGTTTTCAATCCCATGTCCTCCTGCTGATACCTTAAATGTTATTAATCGTTCCGGAAAAAATGGTGCATATGTATTCTTAAAGTGATCTATTTTTGTACAGGCCAGAAGCTTAGAACTGGAGCTTCTCCACTAATTCACATATTGTAACATTCAGAAATGTAACTACACTTCTGAGTGTGAAGGAAGCATAATATCTGGCTGATTAAGCAAATGCCCCACCCCCTTTTTTTCCTGAAAGTTTAGGAACTGCATGAGCATAGTTTCAGGGTAACAACTGAAGTGAGGTAGAAATTGCCTTTTCTCCCAGGAAGAGTAAACATGACTCTACTATTGCTTTCGTACCACAGAGACTGGATTTTGGGGCTGAGTAACTCGAACAGAATCAAGAAAAAAATTATACCGGAGCTTGCCCTACTTGAGCCCTGTTAAAAGGAGCTTTTTGTTGAAAATTAATGTTTTTGTGGATACAGTAGCCAGTAGTGTGATGCCCAACCTCACTTACATGTGCCCTCTGTTATACCACACTGTTTTGGAGAGTGTACTAAGCTGAAAATTGGGTAATTATAAATAATATAATTGCTTCTGTGCAGAGCCAAGAAAGTAAGTTGTTCTACTATTTCTTGGTCCATTATTGTTAAAAATGTGGCCTCTCCTATATATCAAGAGAGTCTATACAGTGTTACATGGTTTGATGACTCTAGCTATCATTTTTTTATTATTATTATTATTTTTCAGATACATTTTCAGTGGGGAGCCACACTTGGAGCCACATTATCATCTGTATTTTGTTAGTTGGTTCAGCTGTTGCTTCGGCAATCTGTCTTACTCGAAGACAAAAAGGTGAGGTGGGTTCCAGAAATGGGGCTTGATGGTGTTTTGTCTTCAGTAGTGTCTTCTTGGAATGGCCTAGGGGTGAATCAAATTTGAGCAGTGGGGGTAGCAGACATTAATTTTCTCACCCTGGAAGCTTCCCAGAGACACTCCTCCTCCTCCAAGGTTTGGTCAGACAAGCTGAATGTTGTAGAGCGCTGCAGGCTGGGAAGAGACTAATCTCTGAAAAATCAGGTCAGTTGCCTCTGCTTAATTTTCAGAGATACCCTCCTTTGCCCTTTGTCTCTCCACATGTTAACCCATGTCATTCAACAGGGCTACCCAATCCTGGAGGAGCAGGGTAGAGACTGGGAGAACTGCCAAGGAAGAAGAGGAGAGAGGAAATTAGCAGCTTTGTTACACATATGTTAACTTACATCCAAGCTCAGTTTCAGCCCTTTTTGGGGAAATGTAGATAGCACACTGATATAAAGGGATTCAGCTGGAATGCTTTATCCAACACATTGTTAATTATAACCCATCATCTTAATTTCATGGTCAGCCTGACACCATTATTTCAGCATCTCATTTAAGTTTCCCCAGTTGTGTTGAAGGGAAACTTAAATTCCTATTCAAGATCCTGCTTCTCTTTGCTTGCACTTGAACCTCAGGGTGAAGGTCACTGAATTGTTACCCCTTCTTTTCCAAAAGTATCTGAATTTCTTAGATCAAGGTTATATTATTTCACATTTTCTAAGGTACCTATTCTTCTTTCCCTCCTAGAATTAAATTCTGGGGCAAAAAATTGTGATGCTGAACACCATGGTAAGAGAATTTTTGCTTCTTATGACTTAGCATTGATTTGTAATCTAGGTACCTAGATTAGGTTCAACTGTTAGAGGGGAGAGTATTGCCTTTTTGTTTCCTTAAAAGTCACATGTGTGCTCTCTCTCTCACTCATTCAAACACGCATGCACACACAATTCTGATAGAGTTATTAACTGTTTACCCATTTCTGTGGCTCAACACAGCTGGGCAATCTTTATATTAATATCAAGGACTATTACTTTCTGACACAAATCCTTCTTGCAGGAGAGATCTGTTTCTGCATAAAGGATTGTTATTTTCTGAAATAAAATCCTTCCATCTTAAAATCTGTATCATTGGGCACTGAAGACAAAGTTTGGTTAGAGGCATGACTAACCTGAAGATAATGAACTTGAACTTAATATTAAGTGCAGCATATTATACATGTAGCAGTCCTGTTTCTTGCACTCTTTGTTTTCCATGTATGGAGGGCACTAACCATAATATTACCCTTCTTATATATTTCATTTTTTTTATTTTCCAGATGTCATCCCTATGTTACCATCTCCACCACCCCTGAAGCCACGTACAGTTTGGATTGTGTATTCTGCTGATCACAAGCTCTATGTAGACATTGTATTGAAATTTGCTCAATTCATGATCCAAGTGTGTGGTACAGAGGTTATCCTAGACCTGCTGGATGAGCATCAGATATCTGAGATGGGGGCAGTATGCTGGCTTACTCGGCAGAAACAGAAAATGGAAGCACTCTCTTCAAAGATCATCATCTTATGTTCCCGGGGTACTCGAGCCAAGTGGCAGGCTATGCTTGGGCGTGAGGAAGCAGCTGTACATCTTAAGCAAGATAGCCTGCTGCCAACAGGAGACATGTTCACTCCAGCACTGAATCTGGTTTTACCAGACTTCAAGCAGCCAGCTTGCTTTGGACTGTATTTAATCTGCTATTTTGAGGGCATAAGCAATGAGAGTGACATTCCAGACCCATTCCATGTCACTTCCAAATATCAGCTGATGGACAAGTTTGAGGAAATTTACTTCCTAATCCAGGATCTTGAAAAATTTGAGCCAGGGCGAATGCATCAGATTCCAGCAATCTCACCTGAAAAGTATACTGAAAGCCCCTGTGGCAAACAGCTGAAGGAGGCATTGCAGAAATTCCAGAAATGGCAGGCTGAGCATCCAGATTGGTTTAAAAATGAATGTGCTTGCTGTGAGGATGAAGATGATCTGCAGTCTGTGAGTGGGGAACTCACTGAAGAATTAATATTCCCCAGGGAAGGAATTCTCAAAAAACAACTGCTTCCAAAGGAACCTGACCCCAATAGCTGTTGCTTAGTCAATCTCCTGGTTAATGAAGATGACTTGGGAGCATATAAATTGAAACCTCAGCTTCTACCACAAGAAGATCTAGCATTCCAGACTGTGGTCATTCCTGCTGAGACACCTTCTGTTCAGGTGGTCAAGCCAGCTGCCCTTCCAGAAGAAAAAGAGATACTCAGTCATAAACTGTTGACCAATGAAGATTGGCTAGAAAGAGTGCCCATGATAGAAGCTAGCATCCCAAGAAGAAATAATGTCCTCCTTCAAGAGGATTTATCCTCAGATCCCCAGGCCCTGCCAGCTGATATGAGGCAACAACTGGAGGGATTGATGTATTCCCTCTATCAACAAAGTATCATCCCCTCTGGTATGCCCCTTTGCCAAGAAAGTGTTAATGAGCAGCAACAGCTGGTGTTTGATGAGTCTTGCAAAGTTCAGAGACAGTCAGTACAATCAGATCAGGGTTATATCTCCAGATGTTCTTCTTTGCCTTCTGATAGCCCTGTTGAACAGGAGGAGGAAGAGAGCCAAGAACAGGAAGGATATTGGTCTGGTGGGTATCTCACTGCAGATGTCTTAAGTAGTCTAAAAAGTCTTCAGCAGCAGTTGCTTTTCCAAGATATTCAGAAAAACTGTAGCTAAGGTCACTTGGGAGAGGGAAGGGAGAATTTGCTCTATGTTTATGAAACAACTAATGACTGTTGGTTGGGTTGTGCAGCGTCCAACCTCAACTAAATAGAAGTCTGCTGATTAATTGATGATATAAACTGCCTCTTAAGAGCATTAGGGATAGCCACAGAAGATCAGGATAATTCTCCAAATATTCCAGAAGACTCCTCTGAAAGTAACAAGCTGTCTATATAACAGGCATTAGAAGTGCCAGGACACAGAATGATGACATTTTTTTTATCATGAACAGCTGATTGCAGTGAGCAGGATACAGAAGTCTTAAGAGTAGAAGAAACATTCTAGGTGAGATGGAAAAATCTCTCTATTCCAGTATCCTTTTCTCCGTAGTGCCCAGTAGCAGATTGTGAACTTAGTAGTTCTGTATAGCTACAAAGGCTAATCAGCAGGAACTTGTCCTGTCTCCTGTTACAGGTATCCACTTTCGTAACTATAGTCACAGTTCATAGCAATGAATTCTGTCAGCCAGTTGTGGCTATACAAAGAAGTACATTCTATCGTCTGTCCTGGATCTTCTGCCATTTAATTCCTTAGTATTATCTGCATTTATCTTACTACTAGCAAGGAAGAAAACCTTCTCTATTTGCCTTATGACTTACACCCATCTCTCTGATGTACCTCCTTTTGTCACTGTTTGTTTTCTGAACTATAATGTCCAAAACACTTTATCACAGCTGCTACTTTGATCATTTGGATAGCTTTTTTCTGGCGTTTCCTATGCTAAGATGTTCGTATTAAGCTAACATGACGGTGTTCCAGTCTATTCAACCATAGACTGATATTTGCTGCTTGATTTTCAGTTCTTTTCATAAGATAGCTAATTGTTTCCCTTGTATGAACTATCCCTGTTTCATAGGCAGGGCATGCCAGTGGCACTTGCACGTTGATCAGCTTCAAAATCTTTTCTCAGTGGTTTCCACCAGTTCAGACACCATTAATGTATTGCAGAACTAGAACATCTTGTCTCAATATAGTTGCCTTTTCACTTGCTTACTTTGAAGTACATTTGTCATTTTGTTTTCCAACTCAGAGATTTTGTAAGGCAGTTCTCTCTAAGCATTTTTAAAGGGAAATTTAATAAGGTAAAATACTTTATTGATCTGAAGTCCTGCATTAAGTAATCGGCTCACTTATCTACAAATGCAACAGTAGTCCATTTTTTCACATGAAAGAACCCCAGCAGGGTTGCCTGGCTTTAGAGTTTATTTATTTATTACAATTGCTTTAGGAATTTTGATTGTTTGACAGTCTTGAAGACACAGGTACTTTGATGTATTTCCTTCATCACCTTAACTTACTTCCAGGATAATATTACGTTAATATTAATACTAAAAATGTGGAAGCAAGAGACTAATTATTTCATTAAACTCAGATATAGGAAATAGCTGCCATTGTGCTGATTCCGTGGCTTCTGATTTTACCCCTAACAACACGCCTTTGAATTCTCCACAGAATGTTATTTGCAGCAACAGTAATAGCAGCAGCATTTCATAGCAAAAGTGAATTGTGTGTTGCCTCTGAAACAAAGGACTTCTAAAACATGCTTGGTTCCCAAACTTGACAGTTGCTCTGACAATGTTCCCATGATGGACCTCAACCAACCCAGAGACAAATTGAAGCAAATAGTTGGTGTGTAAAAGAGTGTGTGTGTGTGTGTACACGTGCACAGGTACATAGTTGGGAGAGGAAGTTGGAAGCGTCTCTGCCAGAATTATTTAGTGGGCAGAGACCATGTTTGTAATCATCTGTTGCACAATTCAAAATTTGGACCTGTTTTTAAAATTAGCTTCAGGAATTGAGGTAAGCTGTTTTCTTTTGCATAGAACAGTGACTGATTCTTCAGAGTTGAATACTATTGAATAACCCTTCACTGCAACTATACTGCACAGCTGTCTGAAAAGCTATTAAAAGATCCAAGTACATCATGGGTTAATTCAGCTGAAACTCAGTTAAGTAGCAACTTTGGCGGAGGATTTTGGGAAAGTAATTTCCCAACATCTTGGCTACCTTATGTTCTTCATACATTATGAGACCTGCTTTCTTGTTAATTACATCAATATATTAAGGCAAACAAGCAGGAGTGTGTGTTTTCAGCTAATGAATTTCTAGCCTATTTTAGAAATTACTCAGTAACTTTCAATGTATATCATTGATGTTCAAGCTAGTTATTTTGATTTTACACTGCCTTTTCCAATGTAGCTTCTATTATTCAATATACAATCAAATTGTGTACTATATTTTTAAGTATTGCTGGCTCTTAAATGTGCAACTAAAGAAAACTGTATTTTAGTAATGTATTAATCAAATTGTTTGTTTTGTTTGGCATTTGTATATATAATGCTTTTGGCCAAGGAAAGTTCTTGGAAATGAACAGGTTAGAGAATGCTGAACAGGTGCTAAAACCATTTCATTGTTTTACCTAAATATTTATGTAGAAAGAGCAATTATGAGTTAGTCAAGCTCAGAAAACCCCTGTTTGCATTGTGGCTGAATTATCTGCATATTAGTCAGAAATAGGAAGGATTAATGGGATGATTAACACCCCAAGTACTTTGCATTTCAGAGATATACTATATAAATGGATAGTTCACAATAACATAATGTTATTCTAATAAATGCTTAGAGTACTTTACATAACATTTTTTCTAACATCAACCCAGTCTTCATTTTAAAACCTTCTTTGTTATGACAAAATTTTATAACCAGTTTTTATACAGTTGTAGCCGTTAGTAAATTTCATATCAACTTTAAATCGCTGTTAAAAGATGCAAAATTTATCTTGAAATATTAAGCTTTGTTATATATTTAAACCAATCTCCTCCTATGAGCATTGCCCAGAAACCAATTATAGGTGGCTGAAATTTAAAACATTCAGTGAAATGTTGTATTAATATCTTCTATATTTTCTACTCTAGCAACAGTTAAAATTACCTGCCTCAGTTTTCTAAATGCATACATCCCCAATACATTTCTACCTTTTCTATTGCTAAATAAAAAGTTAAGAACTTGAAGCATGTTTGTGACCTTCAATCTAGGATCATGATTCAACTAAAGATTTAAGCTCTACTGACTGAAGTAGAGATTAACATGCGCTCTAAGTAAGATTTGTACCATTTAAAAGTGACTGGGATGCATCTTTTGCAAGGGAAATAGCTAGATCTACATGAAGTGATTTGGTTTACATAAGTAATCTTATGCCACAAAGGAAACATTTCACCTTGTTAAGGTGTGGAAGTAATGCACGTGGTTTCTTATAACCCAGAGTCGTCGTGGCAGGTGGATTGTAAAGAAACTGATATATATGGAACAGGATAACTACATACCAGCTACCTCATCAAATTTTGAAGAACTGAAAACTTCCAGTGCGTGTTTTGATTGGTATCCAGAGCACAGAGATGTTTTTAAATCCCCCAGCAAAAAGGAAAGCAACAGAGCCAACAAGTGTCCAACCTATTGCCAACTATAAGTTGTGTATTTGATGCAAAATTGTATTTTGATGCAAGGAGATTTGGAGTTGCCTTAATTCTGAGTTTTGCTAATTTAAAATTAGTGGGAGGGGTGTCACATTTTTATCATACCTGAATCGCAAATATTTAATCAGACATTAACCAAAAATCCATTCTTTTTTATTTTAAGAACAAAATCTTTATTTTTTTTTAAATATTAGCTCTGTTAAATGTATGAGGATGCTAAGTTTCCTGGACTATATGCCTGTTTTATTTTCCATGGCACTGTTGCTTGTATAGCTGCTCTTTTCATACACTGGAGGTTTACTGCTTGAAAATAAGGGGCATGGGACATAGCTTCCTTAGGTAGCTGTAGTTCAAACTTGTATGCTAGCTTGCAGTCAGTTACCATTTCAATAATGGTGACTTAAACTAATTCAATTGCCTAACTAATTACTGTCATTATTATTTCAGTTAATAGATGTGTATCATGATTTTAAAAGGTACAATATGGTTCATTGTTTAATATTTATTTCCAGTGCTATGAAATATGAAGATACTGATGCTACTCAATGTTAGCCCAACTGTTTCAAAAGGCAATGGTTGCATGTACTCTAACATTATTTGGGGGGAAATGGAGCATGGTACTTCTTTAGTAGGCAACTAGCATCCCCATTTAAAATATCTCAGAGCTTGGGGGGGAGGGGGGAAGAGTCTACAGTACTTAAGCTTTACAATCACAATCACAGCACCAAGATTGTCCAGACAAATAGAAAGGAATTACTAAAGGGAAGGCCTCTGGCCAAAATTTTACACAATTATCCTTCAAAAGCTCTGCTTTGGGACCAGAATAAAGCACTAGTGAGAAAGTGAAACCATCCTCAGTCCTATAACAATTAACAGGCTTAGCAGACATTTCAGAGTTGTATGGAATTACATAGTGAAGTACCCAATGGAAATCTTAATTCCATAAATAGGAAAAAGCAGAGTAATGTGTAGTTTTAAAACATCACTGGAGGATCAGATTCTTGATCATTCTTTCATAATGCAGTACCTTAATTGCAAAGAAGAATATTGTTACTGAGTTGGGGGGCTTCCCTCACAATCATACCATACATGTTAACGTTTTTCTTGGATAGTCTTCTCTATCTAGCCAGCTTATCAGATTGGGGGGGGGGGGGAAAAAACTTGGTATTTCTTCCATACTATGTCCAATAATTTGATCCTCTAAAAATTTGTTGTGTTACAAAAAAGTGAATAGGTGAATATATTCTTACTTGCTAATCACTGCATCTACCTCCATTTATGAGCCTTTAGTCTGCTTATAACGTTTTTAAAACATGGGTGGCTGATGTCCACCAAGACAGGTTACTCTAAAACCACATTGGAGCCTCATGCAAAGTTATCTAGCCATGTTGAAGCATGGCTGCGTTATGAAACATTAGGGGAGCTTGCCAAGACACCCAAGTTCTCACTAATGACCTTTGCTTGTGTGACCTGCCACATTTAATTCCTTATCAAATTAGTTTTAACATAGGATCAAGCTATGCCACACTAATAAAGTATCTGGTACAAAAAGGTTAATCCCAAATTCTTTCACCTGCCTTGAGTGGACATTTTAGCAAGTAGAACTTCCTATATCTGAATGAAGGCTTTCCTCAAAACAGAGCACCAATTTATTGAAATCGTATGAGGCTTATCCCAAGAGAAATGAAAGCCTCAGCAGGCAGAGGTTGTTAAGAGACCCTGTTATCACCGGTGAGTTAGCCGTTTATCAAGAGAAGTGGACGTTCAGCCCCCCTCTCCAGATGCTATAAGGTTCAAGCACAGAGGTAGACATCAGCAAAGAAAAGGGTGGTACCAAAAGTGTAGGCACCACCCTATTCCCAGAAACTTCCTCCAAAAGGAAGCTATCTCTGTGAGGAAGGAGAACAGCAGGTGTTGGTGATTTTTAAAACTTTTTCAAAAGAAGGTGCAAGAGCGGGAGAGCCATGGGTTCAAAAGACAGGCATGCTGACGCCAGGTCCAGCACAGTCAGTTCCTTGGCCACTATGATCAAGAGTATCATACGGTCTGAAACACTTTGTAGCCTTGGCATACAAGAGGCAAGGACAAAAGGAAACCAATAAAGGGCACTACTGATTGTGCAAAAAAAAAAAAAACAGCCCACAGTACATATGTGGCTGAATCCTTTGACACCATAAAAAGAAAAGGAACCTGCAGTGGATTCCTGAGAGGAGAGTCTTGCTGAGTTATGTGTTGGATCTTTTATGCTGAATTTTCCTCCAAGCAGTTAGCTGAAGGAATGTAGAAAAGAAAAGAATTGTTAAGAAAAAAATGTGTCCTTGGTTTGCCCTTGGTCAAAGCAGCTGGTACAACTACAGCACCTTGGAGCAGCAGTGCTAAGGAGAGCCACATTTCTTAAAATGGCTTGACTCTCAAGGAGGTGGTGTTCTGTGCCCAGGTTGCTCCGCTTCAGCCTGCAGGTGGTAACTCACATCCATAGACTCCCCCCTAGAAACAATCTGTGTGTCGAAAGTTGGCACATCAGGAAAACGGCTAAAATTCATGCGCCTGACATGTCATTTTGAAATAGAAGTATGTTCTTCCATTTTGCAAGTGGAAGACCCCTCCATATCCTTATCCACAGAACTATTTCCAACATAGCATCAGTAAAAAAAATACCTTTCTCTCATTAGTCTGCATTGCCGTTAGTGATAACCTGGGTCAATCTAACATGTTGAGCAGAGTCAGGCCTGCTCAATACTTGGATGGGAATCCATCAGGAAATCCAGGCCAGTAGGCTAGACTGGGAAGTTTAAAAAAACCCAGGAAGGCAATGCGGAAGCTGTATTTGTTTTGTTGCCAAGAGAACTACGCTCTTGTATTCATGATGTTACCAAGAGTCTGACTCAGATTTTTACCCTTTGCTGCAGGGGTGACACCCTTGAGTATGGACAATTTGAACAGTTTAGAAGAATGTATCAGGCAAATAATAGCTTCATGATATTCCCACAGCATGCCATGAGATGGTTGGCTTGTCCCTGGTTCTCCCTTCGTTGCAGGCATTGATGGCAGGAGGCACCTCAGCAAGGACAGGTGAGTGGGAAACCTGACCAAGGTGAAGAAATGGAAAGAATGTACCTTTCCCCTCTCTTTGGGGGATAAGACTAAGAAGCTGCTTCCTTCTTCCTAAAATTGTAGGAGATGAGCAAAAAAGAGTCTGTAGCCATAGCACACGAAGCAGCTGTTAGAACCTACAGCATAAATAGGATCAGTCCGAGGATTAAGGGAATGGTGTGGAAAGAAAAAAATTAGAATTATGGGAGGAAGAATTCAGGAATCTAAATGGGGGAAATGCTTTTGTTTTTGTTTAAAAGGCTTATTGCTGCCATCATTATGCATTATGTGGATGCATTACTGAGATTAATTGTGGATGGGAGGGGAACGTACCTGCTCCCTCGGAGAGGTGGTATCTGGATACCTTTCCAAAAGTTATATATACCCATGATCCATAAACAGGTGGGTAGGGAAGAAAACGAAGCAAGAACAGCATGAAGAAGGCAACAAAGGACCCAAATGACATGGGTAGCTCTCTGCACAGCCATCCACTTCGACAAAGCACTCTGCCCATGGAATCCTTGCATTGATGGAATCAGGATAAGTCAGTGTTCACATCATCAGCCAAGGGAGCATCTACAGGGAGGTACTCATTGTCTGTCAGGGTCCTCAGAAAAAAATGCATCAGGTGGATTTAACCCAGCTGAAATTGGGAGTGGATTTGTGAACAATGACAACAATATGGGAGAGCCCCTAAGTGACTTAAAACTTGACTAAAAGGAGACTTCACAAGTATAGGGGGGAAAGGCATAAAAACTACAAGGTAAATACAGATTGGGACCCCCAGCTTGCCATTTTCCAGCTGCATTCAGCAAGTGACCAACACAATTATGGGGAAGGAGTCAAGGAGCTGGGACAACTGAGTCAATGCTATCTACTGAAGGAGGCCTAAACAACTGGAGAACTGCAAACACAGAATAACCAGAGAGGGTCGGGCAGCTAAACTGGATTGATAAGGAATACAGTTACAAGGAACAGATGGGTAGGATGAAGGAAGGGCCCCAGCTTGACTCTGAGCCCCCTCCCTTTCATCCTCAGCTCTGGGCAGTGACGGCCAGTGTGTTGACGTAGCCGTGGGGCCCCATGTCGTTCTCCGAGATGCAGTGGCTGAGCTGGCCAGCCCCGACGCCTGTGGAGAGGACGGGCACGTTCTTGCCCTTGCCGCCCTGCCCGCCGGCAGAGTAGACAAGGTAGCAGGTCTCCACGGCCTCCAAGCCGCGGCAGGCCAGGAAGAAGAGGTTCTTGAGCGTGAAGATGGACAGCGGCTGCTGGTAGCGCACCAGCAGCAGGCAGCGCAGGGCCAGCAGCGGCGCGTCCAGCAGGCCGGCGGGGGGCACCCC